ACCATAGAATAACTATTAATTATGGTGATGTCACACTTCCGGTCAGAATTTTTGGTCGGGCATTGCCCCTAAATGCCCGACCCTGCAGCCGCCTATGAACAAGTAATTATCAAAAAATTATCAAAAAACTTGTACCCGGCATAATTCATGCTATTTCTATAGGATTAGGGTATAATCTTGTAGCATTGATTGTTCTACTAATTCTTGCTGTACTAATCCTCTGTTGTCTTTGCTGGTTACTTATATTACTCTGCATATGCTGCAGAAATAGAAGAAGGAACAGGTACTGTGTTCCTGTAAATTTTAAAGTCTCTCTTACTATCTCTTTATAATAGGAAACAGGAATATGTTTTTGGTGCATACAACAGTGGCCATCAAAGTAACACTATTAAGAGTAATATCTACCGTGGAGGGTCTTTTAGAGAGTCCATTAGACGCTCTTTTAGAAACTCATTCAGGAGAACTGAGAAGCCTATAGATGAAATGGTGATACTTGCAAGCGTAAATAATCTTAATGGTATACCTATATTTATGTTTATAATAATTAATAATATTTTATACAATTTTTAGAACCTGAAGTAAAAGAGCCAATACCTGTGATTGATTTTGCAAAACATGTGGAAACCATGCACAATAATCAGGACTATTTGTTCACTGAAGAGTTCTTTGTAAGTTCTTTAAGCAAAAAATAGTAATGATATTATTGTCTATAAAACATAAATAAAATTCATCTTCTTTTGCAGAGAATTGAGCCTGATCATGCTCCAACCCGCAGAGCCACAAAAAATAATAAAGAAAGAAACCGTTTCTTGAGCATTGCAGCATGTGAGTTTATTAAGGCATACACGACCACCATGCTTTAATCATATACTTATATTACAGATGATCATTCAAGAGTTGTATTGGAGCACCATCCTAGTGGAAGTGACTACATTAATGCTAATTACATCAATGTGAGTGATGTGATGTGATACTATTTATAGTAACATTGTTAATGTTTAGGGTTATGATGAGAAGTCAGGATCTTATATTGCTACACAAGCACCACTGGCCAGCACTGCCAATGAATTTTGGTGTATGGTATGGGAGAAGGAGGCCCCTGTAATTGTCATGCTAACAAACCTTGTGGAAAATGACAAAGTAATCCCCATAACTTAAGTGTAGCAATTATTTTATTCTAAACTTTAGGAAAAATGTCACCAATACTGGCCAAAATCAGCAATAGAGGGAGAGAATGTATTGAAATTCTCCTCCTTTGAACTGACTCTCCTTGAGGAATCTGTGAATGAACATTATACCATTCGTAAGCTAAGCATTAAAATGATTGGAAGTAATGAAAAGAAGACTGTGGATCAATATCATTTCACATCATGGCCAAATCATGGCACCCCATCTTCCTCTGGTCCACTGTTGGAGTTTATGGACATTGTTCAACAGAAATATGCACCTTATGATGGACCAATGGTTGTTCATTGCAGGTAA